GGCATGGTGGTGCGTGCCTGTAGTCCCAGCTACTCAGGAGGCTGAGGCAGGAGAATTGCCTGAACCCAGGAGGCGGAGGTTGCGGTGAGCCGAGATTGGGCCATTGCACTGCAGCCTGGGTAACATGAGTGAAACTCTGTCTCAAAAAAAACAAACAAACAAACAAACCTTTTTTGCTCCCTATTTTAGATTTTCAGATCCTTGACAACCTGTTTCACAACCCTAGGCAGTTGTCACTAAATAGCCTTAAGTTTGTTTATTGAAGGAAACAATTCTAAAAAGAAAACCAAACAAACAAAAACGGAAACAACTCAGGTTGTTTAGATAGCTAAATTTACATCATAAAATACGAAGAGAATGTCTGGTGAGCTGAGGGAAATTAAAACGGATTTATTTGTCAACTGAACACAAATTACAGAAACTTATCATCAGATTGTATAAGGAGACCAATTTTGTTTAGATAGGGACTACCTATTTTTTTTTAAACTGGATCTCTGAGCTCTGGGCAGAGCCCACACTGAATCCTGGCTCTCCAAAAAGAAATAATTATTATGAGGCTAGACCATGTGATGCTTTTACAGTGCACTTAATTTTTTTTTAAACAAACACATGTCTAAGTGTCTAAATTACGTTCCTCCTTAACCCAAGAGTAGCAATAAATATTTTAGTCAAACAATCAGGTGAAAGAATTCAGTCAACTCAGAAGAAAAAAAAACATTTGCTCAAAAAAGACAAGGTTCTAGAAGAGAAAAACAGAAACAAAAAGGCCTTTTAAATACAAATACGCACTTAGGCACACATACACACACTTCTTGGATGATAGCTTTTAATTAAGCTGATATTTAACCACTGAGCTCCTTTGTAAAAAATGTTTTAAAATCTCATTACGATATTTCAGCTAGGACAAATTGCTGCTATTTCAGAAGTAACAAATATCCAACCAGCAAGGGCTTAATTTAGGAACCAGGCCTGTCATGCTAGAAAAAAAGAAGGAAAACCCTTAGCTATCGAACTGCAGTGTGGCGGGACAGCCAATGCTTTCAGTTTGGTCTGGCTGGCAAAAAGATGGATTTATGTAAAGTTCCTTTAGTAGTCAAAATAAGAAATCTTTTTATTTTGTTTGTTTGTTTGGAGACAGAGTCTTGCTCTTTCATCAGGCATTAGGCTGCAGTGCAGTGGCCTATCTCGGCTCACTGCGACCTCCACCTCCTGGGTTCAAGTAATTCTCCTGCCTCAGCCTCCCGAGTAGCTGGGACTACAGGGACGCCACCACGCCCAGCTAATTTTTTTGTATTTTAGTAGAGACAGGGTTTCGCTTTGTTGGCCAGGATGGTCTACGATCTCTTGACCTCATGATCTGCCCGCCTCCGCCTCCCAAAGTGCTGGGATTACAGGCATGAGCCACCACACCTGGCTAAGAAATCTTTCCTCTTTTTTTGTTTTCTTTTGCTGGTTGTTTTTCTCCCCCTAGCATACCACCTTTTTGTGTTGGGGGTGTATTTTAGCCACTTCAGAGGCTTGTTCCCCGTAATTTAGAGTTCCCCTTCAGATTTGACCAAGTCAGGACGTGCATTGGACCCAACATGTGCTGCTTGCAGACCTGGCTTTTCAGGGCTGTTGTCCCTGAATCAGTTCAGTCCACCTGTGTGTGGCAGGGGCTCAAGATGCAGGAGGGGCCAGCTCCTTACATGCACCTGCTAGCCGAGATTAGTCCCTAACTATATTCTCCTGAGGGGAAACCTATTTAAAGCCGCTGCAGGTCTTAGGGAGTGTTCCTCCCAGACACCCTTATGTGATTTTCAGTTGCCTGAGAATGCCCCCAAAGGCTAAGGGGAGCAAGGTGCTCTTTTTCTGCAGAGTGGAATATTCCACACTCATGAGCTAGAAGGTTTGGAGTTGGTCACATTTGATAAGGAAAGGACTGAAACACACAGGCAAAAAACCCAACAAGACAGAAACAACAAAATAGTTAAGCAAAACTAACAATGATCACACACACTATATGATTTCTGAGTGCTCTAAGTGTAAGCAGAAATTAACATCTGCTGGTTGTTAATGCTAACCTTAGTCAGTTAAAAATAATTCACGAGACAGAATCCCAAACCAGTTTCTTGCCCAATGATGGGTCTCAGGCTGTAGTTTCTTACCCAGTGATGGGTCTCAGGCTGTAAACTGCTCTCTACAATCCCAGAAGCAGAAAAAAGACTCATCTTCTCTGTTGGAAGTTAGCTCAAACTCCATTAAGGAGTTTCCTGCTTTCCATCAACATGGAAGCAAGAAAACTTGCCTTCCTTGTTGGAAGCAAGTAAAATTCCAAAATAAGAGAAATACAAGGTACAGCAAAATAAACTTTAGTTCTCCACCAAATTTTGGGAAATCAGGGATTCTCTGGAGGGGGTGCTCTCAGACCTCAGCAAATTGTCCTGTTGGTTTGAGCCATAAAGTTAGCTCATGCTGGTACTGAAGAGGGAGACCTAGGCATCTCAGATCAGCTTCCCCTTTTCATTCCTAAGACTGTAAACTGAAACCCTTTTCATATGTAATTCCTAAGACTGTAAACTGAAAACCTTTTCATATGTAATTCCTAAGACTGTAAACAGAGGGTCTTTTCATATGTTAAGATATAAACCTAAGATTCTTCCACGTGTAACATCTAAAGTATAAGCCTATATAAAGAAGGAACCTTCCTTTGTTAGGCGAGCTTGGATATTAGGAAAATATGCCACCTGGCTCCCGGCCGAGTAAACTCCTTCCTCCAATATTCGGTGTCCGAGAGATCTGTTTCCCATGGCTGCTCCTGCTACATTTTGGTGCGTTGGCCGGGAAGCGAGTCTCGGATAGCAAATGGCAGGGAAAATTCTCTTAGGTGGTTTGCCTTGCCCTGTGAAGCATCACTGTGGGGGGACTCCTGCTCCCTGGGGTGATGCATCCTGAGAGTGCTCCTGGGCAGGTATTTGCCCGGTGGAAAAGCCTCAGCAGAGCGGAGCAGGGAGGCGCTGCAGTGCGGATCCACCCAGTGGCTGAACACTGAGGAGGAATGAGCGTTTGGGGAAGTCTGGACAATTGAATCTGGTAAGATCGTACCCGGGAAAGTAGCCCACTCCGTTTTGGGTGGAAGCGTGGCCTGATCACCCACGGGTGCCAGATCGGCACGTTGGAAGGTAGCTCTCTGTTGAATTGGAAGGAGAGCATTCGGATGTGTGTCTGTGTGTGGATGTGTGTCTGTGTCATCATACCCAGGAAAGTAGCCCATCCCGTTTTGGGTGGAAGCGTGGCCTGATCACCCACGAGTGCCAGATCGGCACGTTGGAAGTTAGCTGTCTGTAAACTTGGAAGCTTTTGCTTATGGTTTTGAATTGGAAGGAGAGCAATTGGATGTGTGTCTGTGTGTGTGGAAGTGTATCCATGTCGTCGAGCTATTTGTAAAAATTAGAGACAGCCACATAAGGCTGAGTGAAGAAGAATCTGGTTGTTGTAAAAGGACTGAAATGAATGTAAATCAGAGAGTGCTCTGTGCTGGTCTTGCTAGCCAGGAGCTGCTGTGAGTGAACAGACACTATCCTAACTGTGGAAATTGTTTCTTTGAATTGTTAATATGGCTCACTCCCATAGTAAGCCCACCCCTTTAAAAACCATGCTGAAAAATTTCAAGAAGGAATTTAGTGGGAATTATAAAGTAACTATGACACCAGAGAAATTAAGGGTTTTATGTAGGGAGAATTGGCCAGCAATTAGGGTAGATTGGCCCCCAGAGGGGACCCTAGACAGGCCCCTTGTCTCCAAAGTAAGGCATGAGGTTATATACGGCAAGCTAGAGCACCTTGATCAATTTCCGTACATAGACTCGTGGTTGCAGTTAGTGTCAAACCCTCCGAAGTGGCTAAGAGAGCAGGCAGCGACTGTTTTAGTAGCCGAGGGACAGACTGCTAGAAACCACCATCCCCCTCACCACCGAGAAATGCGGACTCCCAAGTCCAGGCAAATTCAGTGGCAGAAATAGGCAGGATTTACATGCATGAATACTTCAGTTATTGGAAGTAGATAACCAGGCGTTTGTAAACCAAGAGGCAGTAAGCCAGAGGAAAAATCATAGGGAAAGGGAGCGTCAGGCTCAATGGAAGGCCGACTTGATTGCTGCTGTGAGAGGAATGCCCCCAAGAGTGTGGAAAATGGGGGGTTCCTGGAAAACCCCACAGTCTGCCCGCCTGCACCTGCAATGCAATCAGTGTGCATTTTGTTGAGAAATAGGACATTGGAAAAAATGTCCACAGTTAATGGGAGAACAGGGCGATCCTAAGCACGAGGATCCAGATAAAAGTGAAGGGGCTCTGTTCAGTCTGATGGAAGGGCCACTGGACTAAAAGAGAAGGGGGCCGGACTAATGCCCGAAGAGCCCACAGTCCGGATGACAGTCCTGTAACCCCCCATGGGAAAAAACAGAACCAATATTGTTAGAGCTATTAAGGTGTTAAAAGAACAGACTTTCTTGTACTTAATGGACTGTCCCTGCCCCCTTCTCCGGTAAAACCTGTTGTGTAAATCAAGGGCAACTATCCCATTCAAAAAGGAGACTCCCTGCAGCTAAAAATGCCTTAGGCAGGGGTCATCCAGGTTCTCATTGTCCCTTGGGAAGGAGGGTGGAGCCTTCCTAGCCAGAAGCAGAAGACTGATATTATCACCCAGGCCCATGCAGGGCTTGCGCAGCATTGCGCCCAACTCATACACGCAGTTGGGATTATTGCCAGAAGAGGATAGTTGGTTCACTTAATTGGACTTAAAGAATACCTCCTTGGCATTGGACTGGCCTCAGAGGGTCAAAAACTATTTGCATTTCAATGGCAGAAACCCAGAAGCAGGTGTAACCACTCAATACACCTGGACCCAGCTTCCCAGGGGCTCAAAAACTCTCTCATCATTCTTGGGGAGGTATCAGCCCGTGACTGCCCCCCAGAAGCTTCTTGATTGCATGCTGTCCCTGTATGCTGATAACCTTATATTGGGACACCCCACGGCAGTTGGGTGCGCAAACAAATGCCTTACTTCGGCACCTGGAGGACTGTGGGTATAAGGTGTCTAAAAGGAAAGCCCTGATTTGCCAAAAAGCAAATGCAGTATCTGAGGCTCACCATCTGGAAGGGGAACGCAGCCTAGAAGCAGAGAGGAAGCAAGCCCCTTGCAGAGTGACTGAACCAGAGACTAAAAGGCAGGCAAGAGAGCTCCTGGGAGCGGTGGGTTTTGTAAATTGTGGATTTCCAAACTTCGCAGTACTAGCCAAACCCCTCTATGATGTGACAAAGCGGGGAGACAAGGAGTCCTTTGAATGGGGATCCCAGCAGCATCAGGCCTACCAGGAACTGGAAACAAAACTGTCAGCTCCAGCTTTGGGGCTGCCTGATTTAACAAAGCCCTTCACATTATATGTGGCAGAAAGAGAAAAGTGGCAGTTGGGGTCCTAGTCCAAACAGTAGGACCTTGGCCCAGGCCTGTAGCTTACCTCTCCAAGCAGCTGGATGGGCTTTCCAAAGGATGGCCCCCATGCTTAAGGGCCCTGGCAGCAACTGCTCTGCTTGCACAAGAAGCAGATAAGCCAACTCTGGGACAGAACCTAAATATCAAGGCGCCTCACGCAGTAGTGACCCTAATGAATACCAGAGGGCACCACTGGTTATCAGATGTTAGGCTGACCAAATACCAGGGCCTGCTATGTGAAAATCCCCACATCACCACTGAAGTCTGCAACACCTTAAACCCCGCCACTTTGCTCCCAATGTCAGAGGGTCCCGTTGAACACAACTGTGTTGAGGTCCTGGACACAGTCTATTCCAGCAGGCCTGATCTTCGTGATCAGCCATGGACAGTAGCAGACTGGGAGTTGTATGTGGATGGGAGCAGCTTTGTCAATCCACGAAGGGAAAGATGTGCAGGCTATGTCGTGGTAACTCTGGACACTGTGATCGAGGCCAAATCCCTGCCTCAGGGCACCTCAGCTCAGAAGGCTGAACTTATTGCTTTAACTCAAGCCCTAGAGCTAAGATAAGGTTGTAAACATTTACACTGACTCTCGATATGCCTTCCTGACTCTCCAAGTACATGGAGCACCGTACAAAGAGAGAGGCCTGTTAACTTCAGGGGGAAAAGAAACTTTCAGCATGAAATTTTGCAGCTGCTAGAAGCAGTCTGGAAGCCCCAGAGAGTGGCGGTCGTGCATTGCCGAGGACATCAGTGGGCCCACACCTCCGTGGCCCTGGGAAATTCCCGAGCAGATTTAGCAGCTCCTAAGGCAGCATCTGCTCCCTACCAAATAGCAGTCACAGCCCCGCTGATTCCCCAGATCCCTGATCTAATACCCACTTACTCTAAGGAGGAAAGAGACTTTCTCCAGACAGAAGGGGGCAGCTGATTAAAGAAGGATGGATCCAATGGCCAGATGGAAGAATAGCAGCACCACAGCTGCAGGGGGCAGCAGTTGTACAAGCCGTACATGAGACCACTCATTTAGGTCAAGAGTCGCTTGAAAAGATGTTGGGCCAGTACTTTTACATCTCACACTTAGCAGCCTTGACCAAAACTGTGGCACAGCGATGCATTCATTACATGTCGGCAACGCAACGTGAGGCAGGGTCCAACTAATCCCCCTGGAATTCAAGCTTATGGAGCAGCTCCGTTTGAAGATCTCCAGGTAGACTTTATTGAAATGTCCAAGGGTGGAGGACATAAGAATTTGTTGGTCCTGGTGTGCACATACTCTGGATGGGACTGAAAGGGCCCATGAAGTAACCTGTGTGCTGCTTCGAGATCTTATTCCTAGGTTTGGACTGCCACCACACATCGGAGCAGACAGTGGACCAGCATTCGTGGCAGATTTAGTCCGGAAAATAGCAATGGCCTTGGGTATCACCTGGCACACTGCCTACCGACCTCAGAGTTCTGGAAAAGTGGGAAAAATGAACCGGACCATCAAAATCAGCTTAGGGAAACATGATTAGAGTGGGTGCAGGCACTTCCCTTGAGGTTATTCAACATTAGAGGCACCTCCTTTAGGAAAAACAGGATATTCCCCTATGAAGTCTTATACCATAGGCCCCCTCCCCTACTTCGGGCACTCCCAGGAACTCCTCAGGAGTGGGGAGAGATTGAGTTAGGATGCTAGTTACCAGCTCTAAGGAGAATCGCTTAGGATACTTCAACCTAAGTAAATAACAAATGTCCTGTAAGCCTTTTTCTCCCCAGCTCACCCTTTCTCACTAGGTAATCACGTGTGGATAAAGGACGGGAGTACAGCCCCTCTAAAGCCACAATGGAAAGGACCTCAGACCTGATCCTGACCACTCCCACAGCTGTGAAGGTAGAGGGAATCCCAGCCTGAACCACCACAGCCGTGTCAAAACCAGCAACAGCTGAGACTTAGACCAAGGCAAGAACTGCAGAATCACCTTAAGAAGGACAACAAGCCTTGCTCCAGCCACATCCCGGAAGCTGGCTGGTCCACGCACAGCCGAAGCATGAGGAGATTCATCGTGGGACTTGTTCTTCTTAATATTTGGACTTGCACAGTAGGAACATTAACTAATTTTGAAGAATGCCCTCAGTATGTACACCAGGTAGGACCTAAAAGTTACTGCCATTCTTTTGTCCTGCAGTTCTTATAAATGTACGGGGACACAGAAGGGAACCTGTTTATATAATGGAACTCAATATAAGGTGTGTAATCCATGAGATGGACAGGTAGCTGTGTCATAGGCATCATTAAACCCTCTTTCTTCCTATTATCTGTTAAGATAGGTGAGCTGTTAGGGCATTCAGTTTACTCTGCTAGGGAGAAGATACACGTAAAACTAGGGAATTGGACAGATGATGAGTGGCCACCGGAGAGAATTATTGAGTACTATGGGCTGGCCACATGGTCCAAGGATGGCTCATGGGGATACCGGACTCCTATTTACATGCTTAACTGGATCATCCTGTTGCAGGCTGTTTTGGAAATACTAATGAAATGGGCAAAGCTCTGTCCCTCTTGGACTGACAAGAAACTCAGAACCGACTGGCCCTAGATTGTTTGCTAGCAGCCGAAGGAGGAGTCTGTGGAAAATTCAGTCTAACCAACTGCTGTCTGCACATAGATGACCAGGGGCAAGCAGTGGAGGATATTGTGCAAGACATGACCAAACT